TACACTTAAAGCTCTACGCTGAAAGCTATGAATACTGCAGTCATACTGACTGATCATTTCGTAAATTTCTTCGCTTTCGCCATGTTCTCTTAGTCATGACGGAATCCATTATCGCAGCTCAACCGTTTAAACTGTTTTCTGGCACATTGAATGGTTGAGCTGAGATAATGTAATAGCGCATCTCGAATAATATGGTACAGGAGAGTAAACACCACTTTGTCAAATCAATACATTGTCTTTAGAAATTTGCTTCTAAATAATTAAGTGGACAACTGGAGAACGGATCAATCTGGAAAGGTTTTTCAAAAAGTATTAAACAGTACTGACCAATTCAATGTGTAATCTTCAAATCAGTCCAATAGTTCAGTGAGATAACGGCGAAGGACAGATCACTTTTTGAAGTCTTTATAACTGGCAAGTTACCATTGCTAAAGTTGCCGAAGCGAGCGCTTAGATCTATCAATTGACCTAAGATTGGTTCATTGTGTTTCAATACTCCCCAGAAACGCATTTTTTGTTTTAAAATACGTGGTTAGCACCTAGAGGTCACTTGAAAGATAAAAATAATTATTAGAACCTCTGAAGCGAAACCGCGACCAAGTTGTTTCACCTGGACAATACTCTTTCTAACCATCTCTCATGAACCCTCATGCTCTCTAGCTTATAAGGTTGTTGAACCACAGGTAGAAACGAAGCTGAGCGGGGATTGTGAGACTTTTCCGAGAAGAATAAAAACTGATAAGCGATGCATCCCTTGATAGGGGAAGACCCATAGCTTCAAGCAAAACTTAAACTGCTAATAAACAAACATGAAGTCTTGATAGTTATTTCCATTCCTTGATCAGATGTAGGAGCAGATGTGTAGTAGAAATCTATACTAGTGGATAAAACTCGCACAACAATCATGTTAATGGTTTTTCGTTTCTAAAATCAGTACAACCAAAGGAGATCCACCTTCAAAACATCTGTTTCCAGCTATTTTAGATGGGTAGCTAATATCTTGTAAGATTCATAAAACCCTTGATCATCCATCAGCTTTCCTTTTCTGAAAATGCCCACTTTGCGCTTGATGCTCTGTTAAAATACGGCAAATCACTATCTCATCTTATCTTATTCTCAATGATCACTTTCTATTCTAAGCGATGGATGATTTCATTCATACCGTTTTATCTCCCCCTGACTGTACCGCTAGTCCAACGAAACACTAAAAAATTCGTCATACCCAAAAAAATAGGATTACCTGTTTTCTCTTACGGACTGTAGCTGTCGTACTGGCACGACTCATACCAGTCTTAGTTGTTCGTCTGCTCATTACACTCATTGTGCTACCTGCATCCGAATAAATGTCGATATCCTAAAATGATTCAAGTCACTATAGAACCTAGAAACGTAAGACCGTTTTCAACAAGCCATGAGCAAATCAGTGTGTAATACCTCTAGATCCCTTCCGCTTTCTACTCCTTCTTTGATTTTTGTAATTCGTTCTTCTTTCGTAGATCGAACAACCTCCAGACGTTTGGCATACCTCAAAATAGCACCACCTTCAAAAATAACGTTACGAACTATGTGAAAAGGGCTGTTCCTCTGCATCTACTCATCTAAAATAGACGTCATGCTTTGATTTTTCATAAGCTTATATTTGTTTGGGAAAACGTCGATTATCTCACGTAACGACTAACCATAGGAATTGAGTTCAGAACTCGAAAATTACTGGTGCATACCTTTCGATCTCCTCTGACTTGGTCAATATGTCATCTAAAATGCTTTGGGCACGCTGTTTGAGGAGATCTCTCACAAGATTGCAATCTGGAAGGATAAAAGAAGGCATGAAACATTAAATATTCACTACTCAGTAATTTCGCATCCACACAAAGAGATTTCGGGCTTATTTCGAGACGAAAT